ATAAACGTTTCCTCTTACGCTTAGAACAGTCTTCGCTGGTCCATCCAGGGTAACACTGACAGGAGCCATCGATGGGGTTACAAGTGCCGTTATTAGTGCACAAGCAGGTCTCGGCACAGGCTTTACCAAACTTTCCGCTGGGACATACTGTGGAGATACACGCAGAGACAGGATGGGTTCAAGGTATTAGATTAAAAACAATATACACATAGAATTTTCCAACATTTTCAGATATTAACACAACCTCCGTGTATTTGGATGTAGTTCTGTAGTTTGACAGCAGACAGACAGCAGCAAATAGAAGACAACTGGTTCTGGTTCAGATATCTGTTCCTGTTGTTTTTCATAATTCATTTGCTCAGCTTCTGCCCATATGAGTATGTCAAGAATGCTGAACATTCGAATCATCTCCTGTGAGATCAGGACGCGAGCAAAACTGCGTGTTTTTACCAAAGGAAAGTGGAAGTCTGGTGGATTTAAAATGATGACACGTGTAGTAACTGGTGGTGCAAATGCAGTGTATTACTAATTGATACTTTTAATAAAGTTCCTCTGCAGATTTAGCACGGTCAGTCTCTTCATGCAGTCCAAGAAACAGTGCACGACGCTGCCCTCAGGGCTCTCCCTGACCTGATCATCAGTTGCAGTACAAAAGATGATTCGTCATGTTTCTGTTTCTGGACACATACTTAGAAGTACTTCAGTATTCAGCTCTTCAGTGTACCCTTGAATGAAGAAGACAAGTAGATTGTTCTGATACTGTAGAAATAATACAGAAAGAAAAAAAATACTCAGAAAAGTTCTGAGGATTTCAAATTCTGACATCCCTGACAAAGTAGACCAGTTCCCAAACTTTGCACAGTGCTGTACAAACCTGTACAACATTCTTATACAATCTACACACAATATACAAGAAAAGATCCAAAGTACATATTTTATAAACACTACAACAAAAAAATATTCATTTATAGTTTAAACATTCTTCATGATGGAAAAAAGACACAAAAAACTGAATAGAAACAAGAAATATTGAGGGAAGAATAAAAATACAAGTGTTTGGTAACACTGGGAAGAGCCCAAAGGTAAAAGGTATCTACATGAGAATGTGGATATGATCAATGAGAATTAAAAATCTAATTTCACACAAAAAAAAACATCCAAACGGGGCAAGTGATGACCTTCTGCTTCACTTAAATGTTCAGTACAAAATGATACTGTTAATTTCAATTTGTGCTTGTTTTTTATTTGATGGGAATTCCCATTCCAACACTTTCAAAGCGTTTTACTGCTGCTATGAGTTTGGACATGAAGAAGAGCATCTCCAAACCCTGAAACCTGGAACAAGCTTTATCCCAAACTGGTTGCTTTTGCTGACGATGGAGATTTTGGATGCTATCAAATCCTATTTCTCAAGCTTTAAGTTTTCCATCTTCTTGATGTTGCTATCACTTGGTATTGACATCACTATCACTAGGGCCTTCTTCCTTTGTTTTTTCACCACTACAATGCCAGGTTGGTCAGCCATCACCAGTTTGTGTGTATATGGAAGTCCAACAGGATCTTAGCTCAGTTATTCCCGATCACCTTTGGGGGCTTATCCCATTTTGACCCCGGAACTTCCAGGCCATACTCGGCACCCCCATATGTGCTTATTGTGAAGAATAAACCTGTGACCACAAGGAGTATTAGGAGGTATTTCCCTAGTGGAAATGCAGAGTTGCTCTGAGGCAACAGACTGGTAGGCGTTTTGTGAGCCCCACAGCGAGGAAATCAATTGGCCCACTGTGGAAGAGGTCATGCCTCATGCCTGTAGCAAAGACGTCACATCCCAGCGGCACCGACTTCCCACCCTCGATCAGCTCCGACCTATAGTCAGGCCGCATCTGGACCACCTTCACTTTACTTACCAGCCCCACCTCATAGTGACATCATCTACCTACTCCATCACGTCTTCACCAATTTGGACCAGCCAGCGAGCACCGCGAGGGTCATTTTTTTTTACTTCTCCAGTGCATTCAACACTATCAGGCTGACCCTCCTGGCTCAACGACTCAAAGCGATGGATGGC